ATTCCCACAAAATAAAATAAATATTAAATCTAAGAAAAACGAGATATACATTTTGCAACTCTTTATACATAATTGAAACGAGAAAAATGAGCAGAATTAATGTGAAAAAAATTTAATTAAATAACGATAGAGTGAAAACAAAATTCCTCAGTTAAGAGGAATATAGTACCTTATTCTTGAAAAAACAGAAAAGCTTAAAAATAAGATAAATTGAACGTTTTAATTTACAGTGATCACGCGTATACATTCAGTCAAAAAGAGTCTAACCAAATTTCAACTTTGTTCCTATGTTCCTTTTAATGCATGTTTTATAACGTATTAATTTTTTTATTTTTTACGATGTCATGAGATAATTATCAATGAAAAAATCTAAAATAGAAGCAACAAAATTAAGGTTATTTTTTGACTCTCGGGTTATTTCCTTGACTTTCGGCTTATTCTCAAGGAATTTTCCTGACTTTCCCGGGCTCATTTTTATTTACCCGAGTTTGAATGACTTTTTAAGTCAGTATGAAATTGCACTATCCCTCACTAGTTCTCACTAGCAGCTCGCACTTGTCCTCCCTAGCACTAACCAGCCTCGCTAGCTCCCACTAATATAATTATAGCTTTCACTCCCCTTACTAGCTTTTACTAGTCCTTACAAGTCTCACTGGCCATCACAAGCACTCACTGGCATACTATATTTCACCAACTCTCATTAGCTCTCACCAACTCTGTTCACTAGCATTCACTAACTCTCAGTAGTTTTTAACAACACTCACTGGCCCTAACTAAGGGGAAATTAACAACCAATAATATAATAGATTTAATAATGAAAAATAAGAAAAACTGGAAGCAAGTAAGTAATTTTATAAAGAAAGTGAATGGTCAACAAGACCAAACAAAAATGGGATGATGGCCTAATATACCTGCGATGGTTTCAGGTACATTAGAGGCCGAATATCGAGGAGTTTTTGTTGGTAGACTAGTTCACTAGAATCCAACATTGCGATGCGCATAGAGCGAAGCATAAGCGTTTCCCTCGAAAAGAAGAAAACTGAACAAAAACCTGGCAATGGCCAACACTCACTAGCCTCATCAGCATTAGTTTTTAGCTACTAGCTTCCTCTAGTTCTTACACACTAGGTCTCACTCACTAGCTCTCACCCTCTAACCCACTAACTTCCACTAGCTCTTAGTCCCTAGAAATTAATAGATATTACTAATTATCACAAATTATCACTAAATATCACTAAATATCACTAAATATCACTAAATATCACTAAATATCACTAAATATCACTAAATATCACTAAATATCGCTAAATATTACTTAATATCACTTAATATCACTAAATATATCTCTAGATATCACTCACTGGCTCTCACTAATTGATTCTCACTATCTAGCTTAATCACTAGCACACATTAACTCACTGGTTTTCACTAAATCTTACTAGCACATACTAGGGCTCACTACCTCTCACTCTCTAGCTCTCGCTTATTAAATCTCAGCGGTAACTCACTATCTCTCCCTATCCCTCACAAGTATAATCAAAATATGCACGATTTTCATTTAATTAATTAATGTCGAGATATGTGTAGCTATACATAGTTTAGTTACTTATAAAAACGATAAACGTTCTTTTAGGCAGTGTAGTTTAAATCGCAGGGATAGGATGGATAAGTTGGGGCGCCCTACATAAATATTTGTGTTCGAAAAGTCCTAGTGAAAATCTTCAGTAATAATCTGGGTATATCCCATGTAGTCTCTAGGCATTGCTTGACCTCGAGGCCAAAGTAAGCCTGTACGATCCGATATTAAATTTGTATTTTTACGCTGATTCCGTAGAACATTCTGACTACGTGACCAGAAAACGAAAGGAACACTATTAACGATCCGGAAACAGCCTCAGCATTACGTTTTACGTTTGTACGTTGTTGGTCAAAATCCATTCGCGCGTCGTCGCACAGACACAACTCGGCCATCATGCTTTCCTTCACGCTATACGGGGTACTGCCCAAAAACTTTTCAAACGTTTAATTTACAATCTCAAAATGTTTCGTCAGCAGATATGTCCTAATTATATAATAAGAGATTTGAAATTTGTTAATCTGAGTGGATTTAAAGTTGTCTGTCTTTTCTTAAATGTCACATTTGCTATTATTTTAATACCTATATTATTTAGTTCGGTAGGTTGTAATTCAAATTTAATTGAGATTGGGGGATTTTAAATTAAATTTGGATTATAAAATAGTTTCGATTCTATGTATTTATTGCAAGAACACTACATTCATTCATTGATAGTAGTCTTAATTAACACATGTTTAGGTATTGGTTTTTATAGCACAAATAAAATCATTTATATTCAGGATGTTCCGTGCAAAATAATTTAATTATTTAGATTTTATCAGAAGCTGTAAAATTGACAACAACGCCGATACGAGTATATATGCCGTTCAGTTTTTCAAATCAATGAAAGTTATGAAAATTTGACACAATTTACTATATATAATATTAATTATTATCATTTTAATATTAATACTTTTTTCGAGGTTGTTACTGTGACATGTCATTTTTATTACTTAAAGCAGCGTTGTCGGGTTGCCTATCAAAATATGGCCGCAAGTACTTTTATTAGTACTTTTTTTTATTTTAAGGTATATTTGTGTTATTTGGTCAGGTACATGATTTCTCTAAAATGGACCGTAATGTAGAACTTTGAGGAAAAGTGTAAAATTTGATTTTTGCAGTATTTTCGTTGGCAATGAAGTTATGAAATAATGTTCTGTAATTCGTATTCTGAACGATTTTTGATTAGATGGGTCGTACTCAATATTTTGATAACTGTGCAGGAATGTTTCCACTTTTCCTCAAATTTCTCCATTACGGTCCATTTTAGAGAAATAATATATATGACCAAAGTTATAGAGAATAACATCACAAATAACTTATGTTAAAATAATTTTCTTCTATAATCATAAATAACAGAAATATACCTTAAAGTAGATATAAAAAAAAGTTTTCTATCAATAATTATAAAAATTGTATTTTAATTAAAAACAGATGAGTGCAGAAATCAAACGGTCGGATCTTAAAAGCAATCCAGAGTATCCAGACCTCTCGCGAAAGCAAAATGTTTTAAGGATTTTATATATAAAATTGAATTTATAAGCACACCATTGGGAATACTTTAAGATGTTATGTTTCTCGAGAATATAGAGAGCTTTAAATTTGTGCAACGATAAGGCAGCATTCTGCAAATACGTTTAAAAAAAAGGTGGGAAATACTCCTATTTAAAAACTAGTAGATATTTATTAAAACAAAAAGCAGCAAGTTTTTATAGATTTAATACAGAATAGCGAGTAAATGCTTTTTTTTAATTCCTTAAAAAAATTCAAGGTTTCTCCACCTTAAATTTTGTTATTATTGGTATTTCCTGAAAATTTCACAAAAATAGGACTAAAAATAAAGACTCAAAAGGAATTATAAATTTAAGAGTTCGGTTTACTCTTAAGACTATAATTTTTGTCCAATTTCGGGTATAAAGTATATTTCAAATCAGAAAATTATTCCTATAGACAAAGACTAAAGGCTGATTTTTTATTATATTCAATATTGAGGATCTTCCCTACCTGAAAAATATGTTCAAGCCTAATTATTAATTATCATTTGCTGATCCAATGCTGGCCGATAATTTTTCGTTGTGTAATTTTTCATTACTTAATTAATCACTTTTGTCTTTTTGAATTTGATAATGAATTCGGTAATATAAGCCAAAATATGAATATATTACTATTGAAATTTTGAAGACACTTTGAAAAACTACATATAACTATTTTTGATCCGCTGACCTCTAATTGAAAAGCTTCAAAATGTTTTGTAGAATCTCGACCATAAAACGATCTGAATTAAATCATTTTAATTGATTTATTGTTGTAGAAAGGCATAAATTACAATAAACCATAAAATAGTTACTTTTGTATCTAGAGTACGAAATACTACTTTGCTGATCGAGATTATCAAAGAATTTCACGCACGAGATACGAACACTATTTTTTCTACGGCTTTTTAACGTTAAACTGTAACTAATAATTGAAATTGTTAAAAAAATTAATATTTTTGAATAATATGTTTCTTTAATAGTTGTGTATGTATTAAAAAATTATAAAAAACAAGCAATAATAGATATATGATGTGCAAAATATTTTGCACCCTAAATGACAATGAAAAATGTATCATTTTAGACACTGACGTTAATATGTGCAAACAGAGCTTTTTTGAGTTGTAGAAAAAATGTTTCGTAATCGTTTATTATTAAGCAGTATTTGTTCTTCAAAGATTTGGAAAAAATAGGAAGTATTGTTTATTAATAATGCGGTGTTGCCAAATATAGTAAGAAAAAGTATATGGCAGGAAAAAGATCGGTTAATGAGAGTTGGCTGTTTGGCAGTGGCGCCAAGCCTTACAGCGTATCCGAGAGATCAGAGCGAAGCCGGAGGCAGGGCCGCCGAGAGCCAGGTCAGGCCCCGGGACAATTTTCCAGGTCGGGCCCCGCGACAATTTTATAAACAACTTAGGCTCTTTCAATATCACATTTCTAAACTTCTCCTTCTCTTAATCTAGTGAAATCTAGTGAATTCTAGTGCAATCTAGTGAAATCTAGCGAAATCTAATGAAATCTAGTGAAATCTAGTGAAATCTAGTGAAATCTAGTGAAATCTAGTGACATCTAGTGAAATCTAGTGAAATCTAGTGAAATCTAGTGAAATCTAGTGAAATCTAGTGAAATCTGGTAAAATTTAGTGAAATCTAGTGAAATCTAGTGAATAATTGGTAAAATTTAAAAGCCTTTCCTATTGTTGCTATAAATTTAACAGCTTCATTATCATCTTGATTGTTTTCAAACCGTAAATTATTAGGATTAAAGAAATGGTTTGTAAAATCGGACATGTTCTACGCATTCTTTTTTAAATGACCAAATTTTGGAAACAACGAAAATTAAAAAAAACTCACCGTTGTAGTAGTTTCTGATAATAACTTGGCCACTTCCCTTACAGATGCTGCTGTCTGATCAGAGAAATTTCCATTGGTGAGGGAGGAATCTAAGGTTTCCATCGTTTTCTCATCCATCTTCAGATCGTTTTGGAGTTGTTCCAATCTAGATTCCAGCATTCTCCAAACTGGCAATAGGCTTTTTAATTGACTTAATTCATCAGTAATGCTGAAAAGAAACAATAAATACCAAAATCCAAAATTCTAATTTTAAAATGTCTTACAATGCACGAGCGTTTTCAAACATTTCATACAGTTCGGAAATATCCCCCTTCAAGGCAGTTCCATTAAATTCGTCACAATCTTGGTTATCTAGTGTGTAACGGTGGACAAGGGCGTTAAGAGATGCTAGATTTGCTCCTTCTTCTGAGAGCGTTCCCAAGAGTTTCTATATTAAAAATTAAAAAAAATAATATTAATAAAATTTCAAATTGTCTTTGGGTATTCAGAAATTATTATGGGGACAATTAATGAGAATGCTCGATTAACCACATTGTGTCTTATATCAAATACGTCAAAAAACAAGTCTTAAATAAAATAATGGTATTTTAAAAACTTGATTGTCGTAAACTATTTTTCCTACGACCAGGTACGAAACTAGGTAACACATATCGCATATGGAAAGTATATCATACGCGTATGGAAAAGAATTTACTTTCCGCATCAGCTGTCTATCTTGATGCATTTAATGTCTATATTAATAGTAAAATCGATTTGATGATTAAATTGCCCAACAAACAATAAATTGCCGGGATATTGCTGGCCTTTTACTGTAATTGAAGGGAAAATGAATGAGATGATTAAAAGATAGAAGCCTACTTTTGGCCTTTCGATAGTGGCCCAACATTATGTTGGTTGATGATGGTCTTATGAAGGGTAAATAACTGTATTGGATAAAAGTCAAAATGATTTTAACTGCCGCAGACCCAACTCCAACAGTCCAGGAGGTTTACGTCACGCGTTCATAGATGGAGACACCGATGATCGCTTGTTACATACTCAACTAGTGGACATGTACTATGAGGCTAATCTCACATTACTGGTATTCACTATTCAGTATTCATTGTAATTTTTTACTTTTACATGTTAATTTAGAATACTTTATTAATAATTTTTTTGAACAAGACACTTTTTCTGTATTATTTTATTATATAGCTGAATTAAATAAAATGTATACAATATTCTATATTGAAATACCTTTTGTTTTTGTATAGAATTTATAGTTCAAACGGTAAAAGAGGAACTATCGAATATCCCGTCTGGTCATGTGCCTGACACATGGCCTCTATTCAACAGTCAGTATTAATATGATAAATGGCCAGCAATTTCCCGTTAACTTCCCATCAATAAGCCATTAATTGTTAATATATTTATTTTTAGACATTACAGGGAAAATGGAGGCCTATATTAACTGGTTTTAATGGTTAATGGCCATCATTACAATTGGAGGGTAATAGTTATTGGGCCTTTTATTACCCTGCACAAAATGTTTGCTGATCGTTCTCATTCTATAAAAGTGTTTGTAAATAGAAACACAATATTTTTAATTTCGACAAAACGCCGTCAGAAACATTTTAAAACCTTGAATAAGCCACATTTTATTTGAACATTCAGCCAGATTTCCTGGTTTTTTACATTTTTTTGATGAAATTATTTTGTGACAGTAGGAAAAATATAGTACATCACTTGTGAAAAATGTCACTTTCCACACTTTTAAAGTAATATATTATAACGTTCAATATTCATTGACTGGCTTCCAGTCTATTAATGTAAAAATATAAAGCATTTAGTCGAACCTAATGATATACCCTCGTATATATACTAAAAATGTTATAGCCTTATGCAAGTTTTTAGGTAATTTAGATTGATAAAGTATCAAAATTTCTAAGTAGTCCCATTTCAATTAGGTCACAGGTTTCCATCTAATTTCATAAATTAACCGAAATCGCCATCAAGCGACATTCCCCCGACTGCGGTGAATTTCCCCTGATAGGTCTGAATTAGTAAGAGTTCTTGAAGTTTGTCAATACTAAAATGTGGTTGTGGTTCGATCCGGCGGTCATAAAGTTGTGTAATTTATATACATGTCCATGCGAACGTCTCCGGTCAGGGATATAAAGATGACCATCTAGGAGCGCTACTTGAACCTAAGGGTATTTGACTGTCCCTGGGGGCATCATCTTTGCCCTACCGACGTTGCAAAAGTCTGCAAGCCTCTTTCTGGAAAGCATCAAGTGAAAGACACTTGCATTTCGGAATATTTTTCGGGTCGACCAACGCGATTTATGACGCTTTGGCGGCGTACTCCGTAAACGGCAACCTTTTTTTTATGTAGGTATGGCAAAAGTTCTGTTCGAAAAGTGCAGATATATAAAATGAAACTAGAGAAAAATATATTGCTTGTTAAGTTTTTTGTAAAAAACGAATAATCTTGAAATAATGGATAGTTTTCAATTAAATTTTTATTGGAAAGTAGGGCAACCGTTTTTTAAAGTCATAGGCTAATAATTTCTTATATCAAACCATTGTATATATAAATACAATGATCAAACTGAATGGAATTAAATGTAGGTACCTATATGTACCTACGTAAGTATTGTCAATAGCGTGAACGGTCGGATGTCAGTTATGTGGAATGTCACTAATAGAACCTTAAAAAAAATAATTCGTGTAGGTGCATTTTAAGCCTAATAGGTACGCGAAAATAAAATTTCAATTGAAAATTTGAACTTTTACAGAATCTAAAATTTAAAAAGAAATTATTTTTTACTTTTACTTGTATATCAATAAATAAGCTTTTTTTGGATATAATACCTTAATTTTTAATAAAAGAAAAGAATCTGCCGAAACATTATCCATTTTTTGGTGTTGTTGAAAAAAAAAATTGTTCGGGTTCTTTAAAAACACATTGAGAACTATCAGATGACTAGTTGACCAGTGGACAGTTTAATAGTTGTATGCGACGAATAATTTGGAATTCAACTGTTCCATAGTTCCATTAGTTCTTGGACGGTCTGCATCGAGTTTTAAAGAAACCCAAACAAACCTATAGTAATGTTTTAAAACTAGATTGCTGCTGCCATCTACTACTAAAAGGATGTTTAAAACTTATTTTTAAATAAGGTCTCTACTATCCTACAGCAATGATGTAAGGAGGGCACTTCAACACGAGTTACTTGATTCATCTATTGAAATGTAGATGGAGCTACGTTATAAATCTTTAATAATTATACCGGGGGCTTACTGAAACTTGGGGAACAGTCACATTCTCCACTTTATTAAATTTTGTTTTACAGTCGATACCCAAAATGTAGATTTTTACAATTAAAAATAAAGCGAGTTCCGTAATATTGATTTGTATCAGAATTATTAGGCTATTGAGTGGTAAAATAAATAATTATTAAATGTTGTTTGTCTAAAAATACTTTTATGTCGGACGTTTTCAACCTGTGGCTATTAGGATTGTTAATAATTTTTTTCATCTGTCAAAATGTAGTAATATTTTGTGATTTCGGCCAATAAGAAATCAAAATGCTAACCAATTATGTATTAAGTTTTATAGTGATTTAATCGTCTCTTCGTACCCAATTATTTTTCGATAAAATTGTCACCTAGACAGCACAAATAGGTCCATTTGAGGTCCATTCGATATACAATTTGTGGATGTCTGTATATCCACTTGAAAAATTCTTAGGGTTATATAATATGGTTATAATAGAATAAGATTTTAAACTTCCTCTGATAGAATTTAATACAATAGATTCAATTTGTAATTTTTAATGACCAATTCTATTAAAAAAAATGAAATGTATATAGATATGGGTATTATTTGGCAGGCTAAATAAATAATGACCTAAAATGACCGGTGTGAACTTGGCGACCAATTTTTAGCGACTAATTTTCCGAAAATTGCCGAACTAACAGTGGCGTCGTAATTATTGTAGGAGGTATTCAAAAAACTGTATGCATATACAACTAAGATTTGCAAATAAAATAATTAGTTTAACAATATACCACTTTATTATTTTAAACTTGGTAGGACACAAAAGAGAAAATAGTCGCAATCAAATATATCAGTTCATAGACATAAAATAATAAATGTGATCAAACGGACGTACACTGGATGTCCGAATACGGATATGGACGTCCTCAAATGGATTTAAAATCTAAAAACTTTGATGCTAAAATATACCTAAGGCAAATCTATGACAATTTCCAAACTTCAAAATGGTTGTCAATTTGACTGCACAAAACCTAAATAAACTATGCAGGGTGAATTCCAGGTTGTTACTTTTTTAAACTGTGTATAGAAGTCGTAAAAATCGGTTTAGAATCGAACATTAAGGGTGGTTTTAAGAAGAATTTAGAGAGCTGAGATAACATGAGAATTTGTGTGTACCTATACGGGAATCTAAATCTGATTTACATCCAGTTTACGAATTCGGACATCAAAGCGTATGTGGTGAGATGGCTCAAATGGTTAGCACGCGGACGCCCCAATAAGTCCCAGTTTTTATTTAGTTTTAATGAAATAAACATTTCGGTAATTTTTATTTGCAATAAAATGGTTAATTTTTATCGAAAACGAAACAGTTATAGACATAATTTAGGAGACCACAAAATTTCATTTGAAAAAAAATCAGTGGTGTGCTTTTTCTTTCCAAAATCAATTAGATTGCCCTTCAGAACGCCACCGAACTTTAAATTGTCCTTTTAATACTACAACAAACCTGTTTAACTAAAATCGTCAAAAGAGTGTTTCAGATATTAATGAAAAACTGATTTTTTTTTTTAATTTAACACCATGCCACCTAAAAAGAGGCAATAGAGCAACATGTTTGTGATATTTTAGGCCAAGGATTTGTCTTTCAATATTGACATTACACCTTGTGTAACACATCAATCTAGTCTCGTCTGTTTTCCCATTGTAATTTAATTATTAATTATTATTGGAAGCTCAAAGGTAGGCAACACATTTTTCAAATATTAATAAATCAGTTTTCGCGCAAACTTATCAGAGTTTACTTGACCAGAGGGGAGATAGCTGACATAGCAGAAGATTGTGCATTTTCAATAAGGACAATGAAGATTGTTTTCTGTCCATTTTTGGCCGGTTATTTAGAATAGAAAACTAACAAAGTTGTTTTTAGGTTGGATTATTAATTACTTTTTTTAACTGAAATTAACTTGTATTTTATATTTATTGTATTATTATATATTCCTATATTCTTTCAATTTATATTGTTGGTGAAATCCTGCTTAAATTTTTTTGCGTTCGGCTTTTACATCGGTCAGTGGTGTGTTTTATTTTTGATAGTTTGTATATTTATAAATTCTAGATTCTGAATAAATACTTTTGAACGCTTTAACTGTATTTTAATCGGTAAGTCCCGGCAACCCCTAAGATATTATCTACACCTGTATAATACACATAAAAAACGATTCTTCACTACAACTTTCCGTATCCGGTACATGCTCTTTACGTGTCCCCACTTTATTATTAGTAAAAACAAGAAACTTACATTACAAGTATCAATTTCGTTGTAGATGTCTTCTACTCCACAAGGCTCCGATACATTAATTCTTCTCTCAGAAAAGTTTTGCAATTCGATGAAAGACTTCAGTTCCAAAATTTGCCTACGCAAACGCCTGTATTCGTCCATGGACGAACTCTTATTTTTTACAATTCTCCATTGATCTAGTAAATCTGAAAATAACAATATTTAAAGACTCGCATACTTTATTTATAAACACAATTACACAAATAAATATAAAACGCAGGTCGGTTAAAAAAAAAAACAAATTAAAAAGGTATTGAAGTGAGCTTCTCTTTGTTACTCTTGAATTAAAGATTTAACAAACCTTCATAATCCTAAAATTTATATATTATGGCTTACCTGCTGTAACTGCCTTGTCTACGTATGACATTTTGTATTCGTCAGATGATTCACTCATATGCTTAAGTAAAACTATGTGTCGATCACAGTTGGTTATCAAATCATCCTGAAACAAAAACCTCGATTAAAAACGGTTCTGAGGTAATAAAATAACTAATTATAACTGTTTATACGAATACGTAATTGTAGTTTCTAGTGGCATTTGTACCTAGTATCACAAATCTTTTAAAAAACAATCCAAGTCATGAATATATAACTGAAAACACAAATATTTTAAAATGCACCGAGTTAAACGTCAAGAAACAAACTTATAAATAATTTGGTAGAAAACAAAGAAACAACAGTCCGTATAAATTACCATATTTTTTTATTTACACACAAATATCATTAACTTTCTCCAATAATTCACTTCATTTAATTCACACCGTTTTATTTTATCACAGAATTATTGAGTCAGACAATTAAATCATACTTATAATTTGTTTTAAAACAAAAAAAAAAGCAGTTGTTGGCAAGGTTAAGGTGAAAGATTATACATTATGTATACATTTTATTGATGTCATCGAAGGTGTAGATGGAAAACTGACGTGTTTCATTAATTAATTTAAGTAGGACGGCAATTTTACTTTCCTTCAACAATTATTTAAACGTATTTGAACTGAGAAATAACCGGTAAATATAGTATTTTTATTCCAAGAAGATAATATACTCATTAAAATGATATTACCCAAAGTAAATAAATACAAAATGAGTATTTATGTTTATATTATGAACAATTTTTATTTGTTTTTATTACGAGGTTGAATCACTGTCATACTGGTCTTACCACTAATTTTGGCGAATCATTTAATTTTCCAATAACAGATAGTGATATTTTATTATCTCTAGTTTTTTTGGGGGACTTCATATCCCAAGTACCAACCGCGATAGTCACTGCTGATATGAAGGTATCAAAAAATCAAAGGGATCATGTTTTTTTAAGTATTTTCCTGGTGGTTACCTGTTCCAGGTACTAACAAGGTCGACACTGCTTAAATTCAGATATCTATACACCGAAGGGATCCCAGCGAAACCGTTCTCAATTAAACTGTTTAAAATAGAAAAATAAGAGAATTTGCCGAAAATTAAGGAACACAAGAAATTAAGAATATACAAAACAAATATCGTCGGCACTCTATCAAAATCTCCTAATGTAGTAATTTTTACAGAAAATACAAAAAACATGTATCTTGTCTTAATAAAAGACATACATTCTGGTATGAAAAAACTGCTCTAGATGAAGCTTAGAATTGCGCTAGACTTGCGAGATTTTGCAAGACCATGTGACGGTGTTTTAGGAATAAAGGAATAATAAAAAATACATAGGAGCTTTTAACTGTAAGCCGACGATATACTAATTATATTAACCCCCGGAAGTGTTATCGTCCCCTTCATCAAGAGAAGGAAGCTCGACAAGCTTCGACAACCTACCTTGGCCGGGGAAACCATTCCTTTCGCGAAGGAGGTGAAATATTTGGGGATTATCCTAGATAAAAAACTCACCTGTAACCCGAAATTGTAAAAAAAAACATCAACAGAAGGATATGCGGCAAAGCATGGGGATCAGTTATGAATAGATCTCCTGGATTTACCAAACAGTGGTAAAATCCATGGTTATGTACGGCTCTGTCGACTGGTGGGACAAGGGACGGCTAAAGTAAAGCTGGGATCCAGCAGTTTGCGTGGTTAGCCATATCACTGAAGCAATGTAAACCACACCGGCGGGAGCCATAGAGACCATGCTAGACCTAGCTCCTCTCCATATTTCGCTGGAAAGGAAGGCCAGGATGTTCTCCTATAAATTTCTGAAGGTGGGTAGTCAATGTATTGAAGAACTGCGATGGGACAAGACGATGAGTGAGATTAATAATCATCACATCCTCGGCATGGTCTCAGACTCGCTATTTCCCCGACAGCACATAGAAAAGTCATAAAGCGTCCTCATTCCAGAAAGAGATGTATGGAGCAAGGAAGATAAAAACCTCTCAGAGGTGGAATATAAGCTGTACACGGACGGCTCCAAAACTGAAAAAGGAGTAGGAGCGAGAGTTTTCTGACAGAAGCCAAGTGTTGACAAATCAATAAACCTAGACTCTCTGGCCCCAGATCTTTCAAGCAGAAATGATTGCTATAGAATTGGCAGCGAGAGAGTTGATTTTTTCCCCCGCAAACAAGACTATAGCCAGGCAGCTCGAATTGAGTCGACTCAAAGCTGGTTTTTGGAACTGTATTAACACTTGGATGTCTCGGCACCCGAAACAAAGTTACTTTGATCTGGATTCCAGAATCCAGCGGTGTAGAGGACGATGAAAAAGCCGACGCGCTCGTTAAAAGAGGAACATAATCTGAGTTCATCGGACGAAAACCATTCCTGGGCATTGTAAAAAGCACTGTCAAATGAATTATCTCAAAATGAACGAAGGGTGCAACACTCACGAACTGCTCCGCTTTGGAAAGATTTAGGTTCCAGATCTTAGAATGCTTACCGACTTTAAACAAGTCTCACCCAATTCAACCATGCCCTTCATCAAAAGATGTGGCTTGAACGGTGAACTATAAGTTAGACATGAGCCACAATAGATCCAGCTATCTGAGATCATCCCACTCATTTTCAACTTTACCTATACTAATTATTGATAACACTATACCAAAAATTTCTAAACGGCCAATGTAATAATTGCTGTGCATTACTAGGTCTAGCAATATCCTTTGAAAAGGAGTACCGCTGTCATCAGAGTAATACTAAGATGGATTATCCTAGGGATTCCTCACCAATGTACATCTGTTTGGATCAACCACAATCACGAACCTTAAAGCTGACTGGTATAATCGGGTCACTAATGGGAATGGCTTATACCGTCATTCGATATAGAAAATATTCTTCCGTGAATTATATGAAATTATTAAAAATTAATGCGGCCCGAAGTAGGATAAGGGCTTAAAATACCAATTCCCAGTTCAGCAGTGTGAGACCAGTTATGGTTTGGATGTGTGGTCGAATTTGTAGAGCTCGGGGCCTATCTAGATGGTAGAATCTATGAGTTAAATGAATGGGAAAAAGTAGGGCATCGAAAATAAGCCCATGAGACTGCAGTGCCGCCATCCGAACCCCAGGCTCGTTTGAAGGTAGCTTGCCTGAACCCCTCAGCGGGAACAGAGATGCCTAAAAGCATTAAGAAAAAAGGGCTCGGCGGATTCAGCTTGTTTCCATATATTGAAACTTTTAAAGTTTTTGTTTCACATAAATTCAAATCTAACACCCTCTTATCGATTTAAGAGAGAGAGATAATACTAGATTCGCTTCTATTAAAGTACATGCAACATATCTTTAAACTTCAATGCTTAAACAAAAAATATATCTTTGATTGGCTCGACTTCGTCCTTTTTTTTATTTATAACAATTTTTATTTGTCCGCCGACCAAAGTCTAATCCACAGATTAGTCACCCTCAAATAAAAATTGTTATAATATAACCAATGTTTTTATACAACTGAAAAAGATTCGAATATTGTTGATGATAAACTAGTACTTACTATTTCATTGGTAACCAAATGATTATGAATACCAAGTTTGAGCTGTTCGTAAATTTCTTTAGCATAATTGAGCTGGTCACGAGAATCGTTTATCAACTGTTTCAATGACTCTTCGTCGCTATTCGAGTCCTCGTCGTTGGGTTGCGGCCATGATTTCCTTTTCATTCGAGGCGATATATCGGAAAATGCCGACCAATCCGATTGGCTGTCAATGAATTTTCTGTAGTCCTCGCCAAAGTTTAGCAGTTTTCTAGCCGCATCAGAGTCGTGAGATTCGCTGTATGGTTCAGAAAGATAATTTTCCTGAAAAAGGAAGCATTAAATAAATTTTATTGATCAAAAACAGTAAGTAGTTTATTGAGCAGCACTTTGGGCCCTCTCATAATAATATTAGAAGTAGTTCTACTGAAATTAAGGATCAGGAAGATCAGGTAGCTTTACTAAAAGGGAAAATAACTCACTCCATTTAAACATAATGTACAATTATTCAAGTAATATTTTTTTATGTTTCTTTTGTGTCAACATTGCTATTTTTTTAAACCGTAAACACATTAGAATAATACATAAAGTTAGAGGTGAGACTTTTCATGAAAAGTAATTTTTGGACTAGTCCGACGGACATGTCCGGAAAAGAAATGAAAAGTAGTCGATCTTGAGCATAGAAGACACACAATTAAATCTCCATCCTGGATGTTTTTCAAAAACACTTCGGGAACAATATTTGCATTTGTATTTTCCTTTATTTAGGCAAATCATTCAAAAAACACTTCAAACCTTGGGATTTTTTGGTAATTTTTCCCGAGTTTTTCAATCCAAGAAGGATACTTCATCTTGTACTTAAAAAATAGCAGAATAGACAGAATAGCTGCCTTAAAGGCTTTTGATTCAAACGGAATCAAGTCAAAGCTTGTCTGGAACTGCATTGAAATACTTAATGATCTGAAAATCCACAATAAGATAAAACTAGAGTGAGTATACCATGACATAAAGGTATCCAAAGAAATGAACTCGACAAATAGGTTCCAGAACTACCATTATCAGACCCTAACCTGTATTTGGGATAAGCAGAACCTCTGCTCAACGAGCAGTGAATAGGTGGATAACCACTAACCACTGAACACCAAACTCACTGGCAACAGGAAAGAGATTACAGAAGCAGTAAGCGTATGCTAAGAAGACAAACTACACGCATGGCTGCTGATGTACTACAGCTCGTAAGGCCCCAGATATCCACGATTGTAAATTTACCATCGGGACACTACTTGCTAAAACACCTTTATGTGCTAGATTTACAACATGTGTAGATTCTGCATAGAAGAGTGAGAAACTTTCTACCACGTTATCTTCGAATGCAAAGCTCTAGCTAGGCAGGCGACTCGCTCTTTTCGGCCTAGAACCGGAAAGAGCGTCCCAGGACTAACCAAAAACATAAGACTATTCAAAAATAGTACCTGAATACGAAAAAGCAGGGGAATACAATAGATCTAAGAGGTCACAGTGTTCTAGATTATATCTTACTTTACATGCTTATAACCAAGAAAGATAAAGATAAAAATGAAAAAAACTGTAAGAGAGATGAAGATGATGGAATAGGAAAAAAGTTGGCATATTTGGGTAACGTTTCAGTAGTCGAAAAACATCTACAGGGTCTACAGTCATTCTCAAGTTGTACAGGGACAACCAAAATTGCCAAAATTGTTTATAAAAGAAATTGTATTTTAAAAATTATATATAAATGGAAAAGTTTATTTTATACAAAATTTTTTATAACAACTACCAATAAATCTTCGATATAGTTTCGATGTTACATTTAGAAAATTAGAATATAGCAAATTTAACACATAATCAAAGAACCGCCATTATAAACAAATGGTACAAAGATTAGTTATTTTAGTAGACAATGAACATTTTGTATTAATTGCTGAGTGAAAACTTTGAGAATAATTTAAGACGTGCCACTATTCTATCATTATTCTATCAGTACCTGGTAGTTATCCCATGCTTGCTCTGATAGGGAACTAGACTGCTCTTCAGTGGTTAAACTACTCTTTCCAGATTTATCGTTTCTTAATGGTTCGTTGTGAAGATAACGAGTTTTTCCTCCATATTTGAAATTTACTGGTCGACTACAAAATAATCCACTCTTAGTTGCAATAAAACAATTAAAATATGAATAAAATTACTTTCTTTGAATCTCCTCTTCACTATCTCCACCGCTAGTGGTTGAAGCTTCACTGTACCCAGGGTAGTAGATCTGCTCGGAGAGCGCTTCGTGTTTAATGTTCGTATCATTATTCGTATTCTGTGTACTATATCCAGGAAAGGAACCAGACTTAATAAGATGACTCCTGTTTTTGTAACCACTATTGTATAAGAGGTGAGTGTCAGATTTACCAACCTGAAATGAATAATTATTAATAACAATCAAAAATTATTTCTGTTTACTTACCAAAGCTCTCTTCTTCAGTTTAGATTTCTTTTTTCGGACTGGCGATATCTTTTCAGCTATTAGCGGTAACACTTCTTCTACTGTTGATGAAGTAGAATTGTTTGAATTCGCATTAATATTATTACTGCTAACTGTGGAAAAAGAGGTAGGTAGTCCCTTAGGCGATAAAATCATTTGATGAAGTGCCGACTCTGATATGGAAAAACTGTTGATACTGAAAAAGGGAATAAAGTGACACGTATTATGTTGCACTAAGTATACGGGGTAGATATTCTAAAAATTGACGATTATTGTTACTTACCTAGAGCAAGCAGTTACATCAAGCCTAGAAGCAGATCCTATCCACTTCTTGTTGCCGTTCATATGCGCCACAAGTTCTTGAATTGAATTTTGCGAATTCGAATTGTCATCTGTACCACGTAGGGTTGATGTACTAGCATCAAGATCATCGGAAGTTTGAGATTCTTTTTCGTCGTCTTCACCGCTGGCATCGCAACTGTCGTCTGGCCTTTCCAGCTTCAACCATTTATTCACTGTCGTTAGTTTGTTATTATTTCGTTTTTCGTTCACTAATTCGTCGGCTTTTTGGACTAGAATCCTTATCGTGTCGTCTGATATTGATTTAGATCTAGAACTAGAAAAAAGAAAAAAATTACAGAACTATTCCAGATGATAAGATGATTCAAAACAACCTTAAACCTAATTAAAACTCATCAATGAAAAGGAACTTGTTAGGCATTCCTAGATGTTAGCAAGGTATTTGACAAAGTGTAGCACAAATGTTTAATCTACAAATTTGAAAATAACCTCATCTGTAGAAGAGACACTTTATGGCTATGACATCAATGCAATCAAGAGTTCCAAAGGGCAGTATTTCTAGCTCCAAACTCTTATCTTCTCTTCGCCAGCAACAAGATTATGATGCTAGGTGAGTTTAGGCGATGGTCCTGTTAATAACTCTTTGGTCTGTCTCTGCCCTGGTAAATTTTTCTACCATTCCTGAGATTGTTTAAACATCCACTGCTTTGTTTATATTCTGATAGCTGTCTTTGTGACACCACCGAAGGGTTCTGGGCCAATAAGAGCCTTTGAGGCTCCTTCTCGGGCTTACAAACAGTCTCACAAAAGCTTTGAGTGTACCTGCATAGAACTGAGTGCTTTTAACGTCGCTTCACTGTTTGAGTATACGACAATGATTTTTCAATCTACCTTATGTGTTAATACCTGTTCTGTGCAGTGATGTAGTGCTGTTATTTCAGCCTGGATTACTGTCGTATGTTTATCTAAACTCAGTGAGATTCTTGTCTTTGGCTTGGTACTATATATACCTACTCCTGAACCTTCATGGATTTTGGAGCCGTTTGTATGACAGGTGCATTTTGCGTGAATAGGAGGTCCTTCCATCTACGCTTCCCTGTTTGTTATACTTACTTTATATTGCTTTTGAAAGACTATACTTTGGGAGCACTTCGTCTGAAGCCATTCCCATTATTTGGTCGTGCTTCAACTCTTTATGCTGTAGTCACGTCCATGCAAACAGCTTATGGATGATGTACCTTGTGCAGTATGTATGTAACAGACCTAGCTTCGCCTTGAATAAATATATGTAGTGGTTTTAGATTTAGCATGACTTCTAGAGCTGCTGTTGGAGTTATCATGGTACTCAGGCATGCTTGCCTTTGAATACTGTTGAGCTGATAAATGGCTCCAACTTACCGAGTCTTTGGCCATCATACCACAAACCCGTAGGTTATCACAGGCATTATGACTCTGGTATATAGCCATAGAGACATTTTTGGTTATAGTCCCCAACTTTTTCCACACAACCTTCGACATAAGTTAAAGGATGTTATGCTCTTTTGGGTGACTTTTTGCAAGAGTTGATTCCATGTTAACCTGTGGTCAATGATAACTCCTAAGTATTTGGCCTCTAGACAGTAGAAGTCTGCAGATATTGGCCTTTTTATGAGTTTGTTCACTAGGACTGACCAAAGAAGGGGTGATAGTACTCCTCCCTGAGGAAAGTCTCTGCCTGCTTTCGATGTAAGTAAGTACATATACGCATACATCCACTTAAATATATAAGTTAAAAGTGGGGATTGATATTATTGGATACCGATCCCAAACGAATGTAATTTTTCTTTAATATACTACAAAATCTTCAACAATACCCTTATCCTACGTGACTAAATTGATGTCATTAATTGGCTAAACATTAATAACTTCCGTAAGAACCCTAAAACAATATCATTGACATATTTGACAGAACTGTTATTTAAGTCATTTTTCATTTAATTTCTTGTTTACACAGATCACGAAGGCTACGTGTATTGTTGAAGAATCTGAACGAACTTTCTTATGGTTAAACATTTTGTACTGATACCCAGTTATTGACGGAACAAAAATCAAAATTGTATTAATAAGAATTTTTATATAAAACTACCTTTTGCCATTTTCGAAAGGTACGTGGATCGCATTTCCGTTTTCTTTGGGGGTAATATTTCTTTCTTCGTTTCTGTCAATATGTCCATTTGTCGTTTTTGTGTCATTCTCTGCTTCAACAACGTCATCGTCGTCATGTTCATCATTATCCATACTAGTTTCAATTTCTTCGTGTTTAAAATAATAAATAGCCAATTTAGGTGATTTTTTGTCTGATATTGTATAGTGCGAGGTGTCTTCGGAGAAATTACAGTTAATCAGGTCCAGGTTGAGCTTTTTTTCATTAGAATCAAAATGAGAAGTCTTCGTCATTCCGTTTGGTATATTTGCAATGTCATTCTGAAATTAAATTAAACAATTAATAGAAACTATTATACATAATTTATAAAATGATATTGAAACATGTTCATTCATTGTATAACACGGACAAGTTCTAAAGTGTATGTTCGATTAAAACTAGAAGATAATTTAAAGTTAATACAGACTATCAGAAACTGTAACATAATGGCTGAGAATTATTTCGAAAACATAATTATCCTTCACTAACTATTAATTTAAAACCGTCTTTGAATTAAGCCAATTTTTTATTATTTTTTTTAGTAATATAATTATACATAAAAAAACCAGTAGATTAAAATTACGGTTACTAATTTCTGAACGTTGTAAACACCACGTTACTATAAATTACGTATGCAAATGTGATTCGTATATGTACACTATTTTCCAAAATCAATCATTTTAATATGTATTGTAATTAAGTATTTAAATAACAACTAGAATTTGAAAAAAAAAAATATGAAGGAGATATTAAATGGAACCACTTTAATAAAATAATTTATTTACTATAAAAAGAATAGTACGTATTTGTATTTTTTTAAATATATACATATTTCATGTTCGTAAGTTCATTCGTTGTTTAGTTGACTAGAAAAATGCGTTTTTTTATAGGCCATTCAGTATCAATTTCCTTTTCTTTTATATCAAAACAAACCGTGCCTATCTCTCTTACTTTTCTCAACTGGGATGTGGGATGTTTTTCAGTTTTGTACATTTATGGTCTTGTATAAAATAAAATCGGCAGTCGATAGGCGGTCCATTCTAATTTAATTTAAGAAATTAAACTGCATATTTAATTTGGTAACAAAAAATTTGTGCAGAAAAAAATTCAAATTAACTGATAAGTAACGTACACTAAGTAAATGACTCAAGATATTTATGTATGGTTTATGATATGGCAATTTTTAAACTAGGGTCTGTTTTGTAATCGAATCGTGCTTGCAACCCGTATCGTTTGATAGGTAATTAGTTTCAAATTCTCATTCAGAATTTCCTTTCTCCGACAATCGGTAAATGAAGAATCAAACAAATTTGTAAAGGTTAATATTAAATCTGGGCGGAAACCAATTGCTCACAATTTTTATCTCTGTGGCAATAAGTTCCTTGACAGAACCGAACTACAATTTCAATTCAACACCACAAATTACTCTTAAAATTAATCACTTCATAATAACGTAATTTAAACTGAATAGCTTTGTCGATATAATTTTTTATTCAGTAGCAGTAGGTTTAATCTGGTTTAATTATAGAAGTTACTAATGGGTATGTATTGGTGAACTTCCTTTATTGAAAAATATAATAAATAAGACATGTGAACAGATATTGTAAAATTTATATTTTTATTTTTCGGGTCAGTGGTGTAGCGGTCTGACGCGCCTATATTCATTTATAGGCAAGTTTTCTGGTCGAAGACAGGCGGGCTTCGAATTCCAGACCAGACCATGTGGATTTTTAATTAAATTGCATGGTTCGGTATAGGATTTGATGTGTGAGGTATTAATAGAAATTCAATTTCTGTTCTTATGACATGCAGATTATAAAATCGCCATGCACTACCGTCTCGATGATGGTGGGTGAGGTTTTCCGGGTTTTCCTCTCCTGTAAGTCAAATGGCACCATCAATCATCTTTAAGTCGCCCCGGAGCGCCACGGCAAATAATAATAATAGCCGTCCCTTTCCCCGCACAAGCTCAGCTTTTGGGGTTAAAATTCACTCGTAAGGGGGTGAATTAGGGAGAGTATTATTATTATTATTATTTTATAATAATACTGATTCTGTTAATGTAATTTTTGTCATAACTCGAGTTTTCGTAGGATAACGATAAATAAAAACGTTACAGCAAAAAAAAGTAATTTATTTAAACATTTCCAAAATAGTTTTCATCGAAAATGTTATTTATTTAAATTATTATTAAACGGAATTAAAAATAAGAATTACCTATTAGTACTTATCCTGATATTACTTGGCATTACCAAGCATTACTACGAATTACATTTGAAATTACCAAAATAATGCCACAATTCGGCAATACATGTGTTTTTCAGAACTGTCATGTAAATCGTCAGACGTGGGGTTATTGGGCAACGGAAAATACACATTGATAACAGACGTATCATACTAAATACCCGGAGAAATTGAATGTGTGGTCGGGAATAATAGATAATACGAGTATAGAAATGAATACAGCATCCCTTACAATTTTCGGACAAGGATATTTCAAAAAGTAATTATGTTAAAAAATAAAAATTTTGGCATAATAAATTAGGTAATATTATCTAGATATGCATATATTTTAAAATTTAAATCCTTTCAGTTTCCGAGAAAAAAAAAGAGCTTTAAATTTTGAAATTTCATAATGAAAATAAATGCATTCCTCAACAGCACTCTTCTTATTATAATTTTGAAATTTGAGCTTTTCTCGGAAACTGGAAGAAATTAAAACTTTAAAATATATTCATATTCTAGATTTTGTTGCCTAATTTATTTTGCCAAAATTTTAATTTAAAAAAAAATACTTTTTGAGATATCATTGTCCGAAAATTATAAGGGGTGCTGTAATCACCTTAAACTTATTAATACGAGTGAATGGATAATTAAAATATATATCAATTGATGTACCGAATGAACCATCAAAAAAACCATCAAAAAAATCATCAATAAGGTCATCACATTCACACAGATAACGTCACGAATAAAAGGTATTAATGTATTTCTATCATCTGCATCATACTGTATATACAGGGTGTACTAACGATAACTAGACCTCTGAAACCCAGAAACAAAGGAGTTTTTCAAAATTAAAAAACAATTCTATTGGCTAACGGACGAATTGTCATATAAAATGCATATCCAGAAATCCAACCCCCTGGAGTCCAGCAGCAACCCTCTATTTTTTTAAATAGCAACAATTAATTCAACAATATGACTTGCTTGCTTTTGATTTTAGCGCCCTCTAGTAGGATAAAAACTGTTACGTATTGTAAAGAGTGACACTTCATTTGAAAGCTAATGTTATTAGTGATTTAATGGGTTAGTTTAGTTGACTGCGATTAAAATTTATATTTGTTAACGTTGAATTATTTAAGTGAAACACTCCTTTGTTTTTGAGATTCTGGGGTGGGGGAGCAAGTTATCGTTGGTACACCTTGTATATTACCAAACTTCAATGTTTAAAGAAACTCAAATATATATATAATATAAACATCATCAATAAGAGCAATATACGTGAGAAGAATATCATATTTCGGACCTGTTTCTTGTCGTACTATACATTACGCACCCACTTATTGCAATGAACTTTCCGTTGGATACACGTATTTTGATTTATATCTATACAACGCATAAACCTCTCCTTTAACAACAATATTTTTAGTACGACCTACACGATGTGAACTAATAGTAGAAGATTCTCACAAAAATCTCGAAACATGGGTTCGTTAGATGATTCCCAACTGATATAATCACAATATGAAGCAATACGTAGGTATTTGAATTGTGGACATCGCAGTAGCGTCCGAAATATTTTACATAGGGTCCAAAAAAACTACAATCAATTGATTCCGAATACGAACATGTCTAGTTGAAAGATATTTAAAAATACTATGACCTCTATAAATTTTCGACTAACTAAGATTGCTCTTAATATAATTCACCCCATTACGAGTAAACCCATGAAAGTAGCTCTAAAATGGTTGATTTATGCCGTTAGGTTTCACTAATATTTCTAAATATTTTGGACATGTACTTTTTTTAAAATATTTTTTTTTGGTTTAATTTATATTGAACATACATAAATCATAAATAAAATTTCTCATTTTAAATCAATGTATACAGGGTAAATAAAGAATACCAAAAACGGACATAATAGAATTTATATTGCCTTCGTTACAAAAATTAAATTCTTCGAAAATTTTTTTCCAACTTTAACAGCCTGTAGATCAGAAAGGAGCGATCTCAGACCCATTGTTGTTGAGTAAAATATTTTTATTTTTGCCTTCCGAATCTACAGTTACAATTTGACCCATTACTTATGACTCACCCTGTATATTCGTTTAAATTTACAAAGAAACCGCAAATTTTAGAAAACTGTAATAAAACTATCTAAAATCAATTCAATTATAAATATTAAGCCATACATTTTTTTAAGTTGTCAGCGTAACAGTTTGAGTGGTCCGGGGTATCATGGGTGACGCCAAATTTTGTTTTCAAGGTCGTTTTATTTTATAAATAAGTAAAAATCATAAAATAACTTAATAATTATTTTAAAAATAGTTATTTTATCTTAATAATCTCGAAATTGATTTAAAAATGTTGAAATTTTATTTATAATGAGCCGTAGCAAAAATATACTGAATAACTTAAATAGATTGTCCGTATCATATGGTAATATCTTGTTAGATGCAACTGTGTGATAATACGAATTAAAACCCATTGTTGAATGGTCGAGTAGGAAATTCTATTAAGATGATAATTCATATCTAATTAATCATTTCTCAAAAAGCTCGGCATAATTATTACTACAGAATTTTGGACAATTAGACAATTTAGGCCACTTCATCATAGGATTATACAAACTGATATGAACCACCCAGTATTACAATAAAATAGGTATGAACAAATTTTAAAATCGTCAGTCATCGGAAGTTCATTAATTTCATAATAATACCTACGCTGTGGGGACCCTCGAGCAAAAGCTTGCGCTCACTCAAGCACACTAGATTAAGTAACTTTTTAATAACTAGAATAGATAACAACAAAAAATAACGTGCTCGGTTCACTATTATAAAATAAATAATGACTTGAAATACAAAAACCATATAAAAGCATAATAATAGATTGCGTGTATAAACAAGAACTTTTATTACCAGCTAGATATTAAAATCTAATAAATTTTCTTTGAAATTGCAAAAAAGACTTCATTATAGAACAGTGTGCAGATTCCTTTACAAGATAAAAAGAATAAGATTCATACCAATCTAAATGTCATTTAATCTCATGTATA